CCAAACCAACAACAACAAAAAACTTGATAAGACAGGACTATGTGCTTCCTTTCTAGGAGTCTGGAATTTGGGTATGTGCTAGGAAGAGGATATGACCATCTCCCAGTAAAAAACCCTATGCATTGAGTACATGCATTTCAACATGAGAACTTACTGCTGAAGAATTTGGCTTTTCCTGTTGCTGAGTTTGCTTTGTACCTCTCCACTGTCATGCATGACAACCCTGAGTAAATTCTATGTCACACACTGAAGGATCAACCAGCAAATCACCAAATCAGAGGGTAGTCCTGGAAACCTTCAACCCCATTGGTAGATTCACTGTATGGGGAAACTTAAAGATGAGTTCTATAAAAACTATAAAATTTGTGTCTAAGTCAGCTGTGGTGGAGCATACCTTTAATTCCAGCACTTGGGAGGCAGAGGCAGAGGCAGAGGCAGGTGAATCTCAGTGAGTTTGAGACCAGCTTGGTCTATATAACAAGCTTCTGGTCAAGGCTACATAGTGAGATCCTGTCTCAAAAAACTAAACAAATCCCTTATTTTTGAAACAAGGAATTCAAATATTTTATCTCTTCACCAAGTAAATCCTTTCCTACACAAAGGTTCTGCTATTTTCCTAGAACTTAAGTGAATTAATTGGCTGGCTGCTTCCTGCTTTTGCTCCAATTGTTTTCAAACTAGCCAGTTGCCAAGACTGTCAGGGTAGACCCCAGCTTATGGGAAAAAGACTCAGACACTACCTGCCTTAGAAAAAACAAATACACTTCCAGTCTCAATGAGCTTGCTCTTCCAAGCACATTCACCTGATCAAGATACTAGTTAAGATACTTCAGCTGGAGTGGCAGTCTTTTTCTTTGGGATCCCAAACTTATTTCTAATATTACACAATTATAAACCCATAAATAGCTGAAATTCCAAGATACAATGTCAGTTCAGCTATTACACAAGCAACGCGAACTTCCAGTGCCGGAAATTAATGTAAACTAAGATGGTCCTAGAGGGTTAGAGTCATTCTAAAATGAACAATAATAAGCTTTTAAAATGCTGCAAAACAGCCAGGTGGTGGTAGTGCATACCTTTAATCCTAGCACTAGGGAGGCAGAGACAGGTGGATCTCTGTGTTCAAAGCCAGACTGGTTTACAGAGAGTTCCAGGGCTCCACAGAGAAACACTGTCTCGAAAAAACAAAACACCAAAACAAACAAACAAGCTGCAAAAACCATGGCTTTTGGAGATTGATAAACTTCACATTGAAAGCTACTGTGAAGCACATGTAGGACAAAATGAACATTCATTGAACTGAATTATTAACTGCGGCAGTAATGAAGCCAAACAGCAACACCTTTTGATGAACTCTCATTTAAAATTTTTCCCATTTAAAGTTTTCACTCAATTTATATGTTCAAACTGTGGTTTTCTTTTTTTGATACAGGGTTTCACTATGTTGCCCTGGCTACCCTGGAACTCCCTGTAGGCCAGGACGGTCTCAAACTCACAAATCCACCTGCTTTTGTATCCTAATTGCTGGGATTAAAGGCGTGCACCACCATACCCAGGTAAAAAGATATTTTCTTAAGACAGTCATATAATATGTAAAAAAGGCAATTACTTATGTAAAGTGCTAATCTGTCAACTAATGTTAACAACCATCTGTTATAAAGAAAAAATGAACAAACCAAGTCAGAAGACTGACGATATCTGCCATGAATAATTTTAAAAAGTACATTAGGAAAGCAGCTATTCTTTTTTTTTTTTTTTTTTGATTTTTGAGACAGGGTTTCTCTGTAGTTTTTGGTGCCTGTCCTGGAACTAGCTCTCGTAGACCAGGCTGGCCTCGAACTCACAGAGATCCGCCTGCCTCTGCCTCCCAAGTGCTGGGATTAAAGGCATGCGCCACCACCGCCCGGCCTGGAAAGCAGCTATTCTGAAAGAGAAACATTTTAGGCTACGGTAGCTTAACACAGATGAACCAAGATTTGAAAACTTTTATTATAAAAGTTACACTATTGTTCTTTCATTCCTTTTTGATTCCAGCTCCTCAAAACATAACTCTGTACCTCTCTTTTTGCTATTCCTTTCCTAGTTCAAATTCTTAAGTTTCTTCAATTTTGATCTCTTCGGCATCAAATTAGTCAATCATCCTACAAACATTGTCTGAACATATACCAGGCACTCTGTTAAGTACCAGGGTTTAAAAAAAGCACTAAAATATAGGTTTTGCACTATTAAAACTTAATGGAGACCATAGCTTTGGACTATCTTCATAACTAGATACCAGACTATGAGACCAAACCAAATAAAACAAGTCATGTAAGTTCTATACAGTCAAACTAAACTTCTAAGGAAGCCAGTAAATTTCCATATATATTGGCTTGTCCTGAAAGCTAGAAGGTCACAACAACCAATTAGAGAGTCCAGTCTTCCTCAGTTGGGTATAAGGAAAGTAACCTGTTATAACTCACTGTTGGCCAATCCAACTTTTTATTGTTCTTATAAAAGCCAACCGCTCTGTTATTCCTAGTAGAATACTGATTCTCCTTCATAGAATGATGCTACAATCACAAACAAAAGTCAATTAGCTCTTTAAATTTGTTGTAGTTTTTTTTTGCACTGCCCTAGGTGCTTACAGTGGGGTAATGGGGTCAATTTGTTGAACCACTTTTGGTGTTGAACACCTACTATCTGTTATTTTACTTTTTTGCAACAATTTCTGTGAAATTGGTATTTGCATTTTACAAATGAAGAGGCACAAATTCAAACATGTTTTAGAGTGAAATATTTGATTCCTAAAATACATGTTGTTTCCAATATTTTAAGGAAATACTGTAACTTCTAAGGAAAATGTGAAATATCACAGAAACACCTAACAGAAGCACCAATAGCTAGAGAGCAAGCTGAATTTTTTAAAAAAATTATTATAAGTGTTTTGTTCGCATGTATGTATGCATACTACATGTGTGCCTGGCGCCTACAAAAGTCAAAAGAGATTGTAAAGATTCCTTGGAACTAGAATTACAATGGTTGTGATGCTGGAAACTAGATCCAGGTCCTCTGAAGAGTAGCTAGTATCTGTAACCACTGAGCCATTTCTCTAGCCTGAGTTAGCTTATTAGGAAATAATTCTAGGTTAAGTTTCAAGGAGCAAATCAATTGAGAGGGGAGTGTTAAAGCTAAATATATCATCCCAGGAAAAGAGAGTAACTTGATCATAGGTACAAATAAATGAGAGAGCTTGGTGCTATTCCAGTTTTTTTTTTTAAAAAAAGCAGAATATTGTTTTTATACTTGCGAGTGTAAAAGGAGAAAGGCTAGATTATCTAAGAATTATAACATACTACATTAAAGGAAATGAACTTTATGTTTAGATTATGGGAAGCCATAGAGGATTTAAAAATAAAAGCACTGTGCTAAATTAATATGAATTTAAAGGATATAACATTCTGATACATTGTGCAAGTTTGAAGTGGAAAGGGTTCTGGCTGAAGGTTGTTTTGGAATTAACTGAGAAAACCTGAATTTGATCATCAGATGAGCATTTAAGAAAAGGCTAATCTTCTGAAGAAGAAATAATACGTATTAACCGTTTTCATTTGTTTAAAGTTTACATAGAGCAAAATCTGTACAGCTATGCCCCAAAGGAACAGAGTCATCATCTCCGAATTATAAATAAATGTTTGATTTTCTATTATTTATTTATTTATTTGTTTGTTTTTTCGAGACAGGGTTTCTCTGCAGCTTTGGAGCCTGTCCTGGAACTAGCTCTTGTAGACCAAGCTGGCCTCAAACTCACAGAGATTTGCCTGCCTCTGCCTCCTGGGTGCTGGGATTAAAGGTGTGCGCCACCACCACCCGGCTTGATTTTCTATGCTTAATTTGAAGTTTTTTATATTACATGTATACTATTTTTATATGAAATTTTTTTTAAAAAAAAAAACATTAACTGCCGGTTGGGCTTAACAATCATTTGTTGAAAAAGACGAATAAACCAGTCTGCAGCGGTCAGACTGAAGACCTCTGCTGTGAATGATTTCACCAACCAGGAAACCGCCTTTAGAAATTACCTTGTGGGCACTACATTCCCTTTCTTTATATTAACCATGCTTGGGTTACACGTGTTTTCTTTTGTTTTGTTTTTCCCAACAAAGGCCAAATCCACTTCATGCCTAGCATTTGCTGTCGTTGGGGTGGGCGCTGGAAAGCTCCGGAAGGAGGCCTGGGGACAGGTGAGGGCAGCCAGGCAGGGCGGTGGAGTCTGGGGAAGCGGTGAAACCTTGGGCCAGGGTCAGGCCTACAACGGGGTGGGGGTTGGGGTGGCTCGGTCCCCTCAGGACAGCAGCAGGGATTGGGGGTGACCGGGTCCCCCTCTGGTCTACAGCGGTTTGGGGAAAGGCTCAGTCCCCTCAGGACGGCAGCAGGGATTGGGGGTGACCGGGCCCCTCTCTGGTCTACAGCGGTTTGGGGAAAGGCTCAGTCACCTCAGGGTGGCAGCAGGGATTGGGGGTGACCGGGTCCCCCTAGGCCAACGACAGGAGAGAGCAGGCGCCCCGGGGCTCCTCGCGCCTACAGCGGTGGGGGGGGGGTGGACTTGGTCCCCTCTGGGCGACAGCAGGGATTGGGGATGACCGGGTCCCCCTCGGGCCTACAGTGGGGGTTGGGGTGGCTGGGTTCCCTCCAGGCCAACGACAGGGGAGAGCAGGCCCCCGGGACTCCTCGGGTCTACAACGGGAGGCAGTGTCCCCTCGGGCTGAACTGCTCTGGGGCGCTGGTTACCAGAGCCGTTGGGGCCGATGATGCAGGTGAACCTCTTGAAGGGACCGATGACCTGGCGGCCTCGCCACGACTTGAAATTCTCCACGAGCAGCAGCTCAAGGCGCCCCATGGCTGTCCTCCGCGCCTCAGCCGCTTCCTCGTGCGCCAGTGAGGAAAAGCGCGGGAAGCGCTTTGCCAAGTCTCGCGAGACTCGTGCGAGCGAAGCGCCGTTCCCTAGCAACGGAGGTTGTTGGCGTTTCCCGGGAAATCCGATTACTGTGCCACGCTTGTTGCAGAAAGCGGGCTGCCGGTGGTCACCCGGACAGATCCGGCTTCCAAACTTTTGGGAATGCTGCTTCTGGGAGCTGCAGCTTGCTTATTTCGGTGACCTTTTCTTACCGTGTTTGTTCTGAAAGCTGCTGAAGCCCCGCCGGATTCCAGAGCCATGGAGGTAGCGATGGATAAGGACCTGCAACAGGACGCCAGCCTCGACAAGAGGCGGTACAAGGAGCTGTGCAGGCAGGGACGGCTCTTCAACGCCAGGAACAGGATTATTGGGGTGAGACACCGGAGGGGCGGGGGAGGCAATGCTTGGAAGGAACGTTTATACCGAAGTACCAAGTTTGCCTGGGTCTACTTGAAAAGCCTTACCCTCGCCAACAGTGGCTCAGCGGGAGCCGGTGGGAGCCAGCATTTGCTTTTTTGCTATTCTCCTGTTTAGCTCAGTTATTCCGTTCTTCCAGGTGACAAATGCCCTGGCTACCTGAGTGGAGTCCAGGAGGTGGGAGACCTTGCAGAGTTCACCACGTAGTGAAAGAGATAATACCTTAAAACGGCCACAGAAAACGCAGTGGGATGAGCACCAGCACAGACTGGAGGCTGGAGGGGAAAATCAGAGAGGGCTTCCCAGAAGAGTGGTACCTAACCAGTGTTGGGGGATGTGTGGGGGTTAAGGAAGTGGAGGAAGTTCTGGTGAACGCAGACAGCACAGACAGGACACCCAGCTATAAGCAAAGCCATCCAAGCATGGGAAAGCAATTTGTTGATTGTGTGACCAGATGAGGGGCTATTGTAGCCTACTGAATGATACTAGCCGGCTCTTACCTCTCTTCCCTCCTCCGTATCTAGGGAGACACACAAGCCTGGGATGTCCAAGTTCACGACCAGAAGATAAAAGAAGCAACTGAAAAAGCTAGGCATGAAACTTTTGGTGAGTATTTCTAAAATGTCCATCTATAACTTAAGACCTCTTGTCTTCATTTCTGTGGAAGCCAGAGCAAATGTTTTGTGTTCTCAGGGCCCTGGATTCAGTCTCCTGCATATGCATGAATGTGAACACACACACACACGGTTATCATTTGCATGGTCTTTCTCCTTTTAAAATTCCACAATTTCTTGTGCTCAGTTAACTGAAAGAGAATATTCTTCCTCTCAAGAAAAAGCAGCTAATGAATTTCAATGTACATCTTAAGAAATGTATTTTAAATAAAAGGAGTGTATTTCATTGTTTTCTTTAAAAACCCCTTCTCTAAAAGGGAAAACCTTAAACACACACATGTACACATTCTCTACTTCAGACTCAAAGCTGATCTTCTGTGGAGGACAGCTGTTGATAACAAGTGACACACAATCCTGGTGCTCAGACCTCTGAGCTAAGTCAGTGATTTATATATGGCATGTAATATGAGTGCATATAGTATTTACATACACGTATCTCAAATAGTGTTCTGGGTTCTAGTTCAAAATGTCAAATAAAATCCGGTTTTCCTAGATGGTTTTTAAATATAAAGCAAAAAAAAAAAAAAAACAAAAAAAAACCAGCCTACAAACCACATCCTAGAGAACTTGGACAACAATGAGGACATTAAGATGTAACACGAGGGGCTGTTTGTTGGGGGTTTCTGTCCCGTCCGGCCCCCCAGTTATTTAGTCCCAGAGAAAAATCACACAGAGATATCTTTAAGTTATAAAGCTGATTGACCCATTAGGTCAGGCTTCTTACTGGCTAACTCTCACATCATGATTAATCCATTTTTCTGATCTATGTTAGCCATGTGGCTCAGTACCTTTTTCAGTGGGGCAGCTCACATCCTGCTGCTTTGGTGATCTGGGCAGGAGTGGGAGTAATCAACTTCCTCCTCCCCAGAATTCTCCTGCTCTCCTTGCATCATTTCCACTTCCTGTCTGGTTTTCCCACCTACACCATCTGCCTGGCCAATCAGCATTTATTTAAAACATGATTGACAGAATACAGACAATTCTCCCGCACCACTAAGAGAGACTTACATAGATCTAATCTATATGGGAAGTAGAAAAAGACAAGATCTCCTGAGTAAATTGGGAGGACCTTGAGGGAGGGTTGAAGGGGGAAGGGAGAGGCAGGGAAGAGAACAGAGAAAAATGTAGAACTCAATAAAAATCAATAAAAAAAAAGAATCCAGTTTTCCTTTCATGGCCAGCAATTTCACCAATTGTTGAACATTTGGGTTTTTAAAATGCCGTAGGATTTTTTAAAGTATAAAAAAGCTGGGCATATAATTTTAGAGACAAATATGCTATCAATTTAGACTTTAAGATATATGGGCAGAAAAAGACAAAATTTCTTATCAATAGTTATGTTCAAGTGATTCAGTTATGAATGAAGTTGCTTTCATTTATACTATTATACATTTTCCAAACTTTTTGATCTTGTTTGTAAAGTAATTCAAACTTCTCAAACCAATGTAACAGACACACATGTGTCCACCATCAGGCTTGACATCAACATTTTGCCATTTTGACCTTAGGCATCTTCAAGAATTCTTTCTGAAAATTGTGTTGCATATAACACAAGTACCCCCACTCCATTGTAGTTTCCCCATTTTTTCTTCTACAGAAGTGTGCATTTCCAATGTGTTTATAGATGTACTATCTATGTATCCTTGATAATGTAAACTTGCTTTTGTGTGCCTTTGTGTCTGCATATGGTGTGTGGGGAGGTATGTGCACATGTGTGTGCAGGTAGGCCTGCCTGTGAAAGCACAGAGACCATGTGGACCAGGCAGGCTGGTCTCTGCCTCCCAAGTGCTGGGACTGAAGATGTACACCACCATACCCAGATTTTAAAAGGTTTTTTGGCAAATATTGCTTCAATGACTATCCATGTATTACATGCCTTGTGCACGTGTGAGAGGGACACTGGCATTGAATTGATGGCTCAGATTGCTCTGTTAGGACTATGCCAATTACACTTCAACAGCAGTGAGTGCAGCTGCCTCAATCTCATTTCTCATGTCAGGACTAGTGTATGCGTTGGTGGCATTTTAAGCATTTTGTCTGAATGTGTCCCATGAAAGGTTAGTATTCCTATCTAAATATGTTGCCCACTTGGGTTTCTTTATAGTGCTTTTGCCTGTGTTCATTTTTCAGTTGGTTTTTCTATGTACTTAAGATGTTTGTAAGTATTTTTTTTATATATGCGGATGCTATTCCTTTAATGGTTATGTTACAGTTTGGGAACATTGTCCTTAGGTCATGAAAATCAATTTTAAAGTAGATTCATTCTTATTCATCGTAGCTGATATGTGTCCTGTGTCTTTCCTAGCTGCTGAAATGAAGCACAATGACAAAGTCATGTGCATACTCCATGACCGCGAACGGAGGGACAGGAAACAACTCTGTCGCGCTATCAATGACTTCCAGCAGAGCTTTCAGAAGCCAGAAACTCGCCGTGAGTTCGATCTCTCGGACCCCCTGGCTCTCAAGAAAGATCTCCCAGCCCGGGTGTCAGACAGTGACATGAGGAACACCATATCAGGAATGCAGAAGTTCATGGGAGAGGATTTAAACTTCCATGAGAGGAAGAGGTTCCAACAGGAGCAGAACAGAGAATGGGCCCTGCAACAGCACAGAGAGTGGGAGAGAGCGCGGGCTGACCACAAGCTTGCAGGTAACCAAAGAGAAGAGAGGTTAGTCTCAAGAGTTTCCAGCGCAGTGTTTGTGGATGCTTTTCAAAGCTCCACCAACATTACTACAAAAGTCAAAACCTTGGTCCTCAGAGTCACGATCTCTGAATGTGCCTCTACAGTATAGCAAACGCTTTCTGAGCACTCTTATTGTCCTCCTTTGCTTTCTGCTTCTGTGATAAAACACCATGACCAAAAACAGCTTGGGGAGGAAAGGTTTATTTCACTCCTAGGTCACAGTTCATCACTGAGGGAAGCTGAGGTGCGACTCATGTAGGGCAGGAACATGGAGGCAGGAGCTGAAGCAGGGCCTGCTTAAAAGATGAATAAATGCGTGAAGGTCTTCCAAGTCTCCTGGGTGTGGAAATGGAGGATCCACGGGGTCTTTTGGGAGCCCAGTCACAGGTCCAGGGCTAGCAGGTCCTGACTAGGACTCACTGGACCCAGAGAACCTCTGGATTTAGACATGAAAGAGCCTCTCCGCGGGGAACAAAACCCCAGTGAGATCTGCCTGCATGGAGGTTATCAGCCCCTCCTTGGCAGGGACTCCTAGCAGCATCTGGTCCTCTGAGCAGGTCACTAGTGACTGAACAGTAAGAGTTGCCAGGAAGATTGTTCTGACTTCCCCAGCTGCTCCTGTCTGTGTGTTGATTCAGTCCCCCTGCTCAGCGTGTGCCCCTCCCAGCCTCTTTTCTCCCTGATAGCTTCCCTCCCAGACCCCTTCCCTGTTCACCTTGTCCACTAGAGTTTCTGTGGCCAGCCTGGCCCATGATCTTCATGCTCCCCTCTTCAAAGTCAGTTCTCAGCCTCAGCCCCCTTGATACATTCATTTGATTTGGCTTTCACACCAGTTCTTTTCCTGGTTGCTCTGTTGAGTCTTCTTGTCCTTCAGCCTCCCCCATGCCTGTCAAACCAGAGATCTGAGAGGCAATCCTGACCTCATAGTCAGCCATCCTCAATTGTGCCCCGTCTACCTCTTACATATACTTTGAGCCCATTTTTTAAAAGCCTATCCATTTTGCCACCACTGCTGAGACTAGCTGTCAGATTTTCTCGTCTAGATGGACCTCTGCTGGTGGCTTTCTAACCATTACTCCCCCTCCAGTCCATTCCCAACACGTCAGGCAGAACAAAAGTTCTCAAGAAATGCCACACTGAGCCGTGCCACACCCATGCCCTCACTCGACCTCAAAGCTGTCAAATGTCTTCATGGGATGTAGAGTAAGAGTCAGTGCAACCCATAGACTGTACATGTTGGGCCTCTGCCGCACTGGACAGCATCAGCTGATGTCTCCACCTCCTTCATGGCACTTCAAACAGTTTGGCTCTCTTGCTTTGTATTGCATCATGTCTCTCCCACCCTCAGGGCCTTTGCACCTGCCCTGACCATTTACTCCTGCTCTGAATAAACATGTCCTCCTAGAAAAGCAGTTTCTTGGTTCCTACCCTCCAACTTTCCCAGCCAGACATTCCCAGCATTTCCTTTCTCACTATTCCTTCCCTCTATGGACTAGCACACTTTGTATTTCTATTTGGAGGATTTGTATGCTTTGAACCTCCGTTTATCACTTCTGTGTTGTGTGCACCCTGAGCAATGTGGGACCCAATCTAGGCTCTTGATCACATGACAGATGAACAGATTACTAGTGAGCTGAGGATGAAGGTTTGCAGAGGTCAGGAAGCCAAGGATAAGAGTCTGGTCCTTTGTGACTGCGGTGTAACACAGTGGTAGAGCACGTACCTAGTGTGTGTGAGGCCCTGCATCCCCAGCACCACAAAGAGTGTGCTCTTTGTTTTTGGAGATAATGAGGAGCCTCTCTAAGCACAAGTAGAGAAAGCAGAAGCTGCTGACCCTTGACTTTTCATATGTTCATTGTATACTGGCACTGTGCCTCAGAGTGGGGCTGGGGCGGGGGCAGAGGTTAAGCAAAAGTGCTGCTAACAGAACTAGGCCATGTCTGGACGCCTGTTCTGACTCCAAACCTTCCTACTTCACTCCTGGTACCCTTCAGTTTCACTCTGCCTTGTCCCCCTCACTGACCTGGCAAATTTTTGCTGCCAGTCCACAACTATCTGTGACCTGGCACTCTACTCTGGGTCTTGTCTGGTTTCTATAGCCCTCTTTCCTGGTTCCTATCACTTCTTGCCTTCGTAAGGCTGAAACCATTTCCTGATAGACCAGTTAGCAAGGCCTAGCTAATTTACCCTAGGACTGCTGTAGGCATCACAGTTAACAGCAGATATCATCAATCCACGGAGTTTATACCCATAGTACCCCTTGCTCGCAAAGATCTAGAGCTACACTTAAATCATCCCAGCTCTCCTAGAACCTGTGAGGCGAGTAGCTCCCCCCCCCCCCACGTACTCCCCCTTTTCTTCCATGGTAAGAATTGAGTGTGGGTCACCACACTCTGATGGGCATACTCAGGCTGATGGCATCTTGTCTCCTGGCAGAGGACTTCCACCTGCAGACAAGACTCAAATTCGATGAAACAGCCAGAGACTTGCAGAAGCTAGAAGGCTTGACCAGGAAGGAAGTCTGTGCAGCCATGAAAGAGTTCAACAAGAACCAGGTATACACACCCTGAGCTCAGCCTGAAGGGAAGGGACATGCACATAGCTGCTTCCTCTGGGAGGGGTCCCTAGTTCAGACTGCATACACCACAAGCTTTGACAGAGCCCTTGACAGGGCTCACACCATAACCGAGGTCAGTGAGATCTGGTTTGACCTGACCCTCAAAGCAAACTGAAACTGGTAAACTTCACCATCTGCAGGGGTGGGTAAAGCTGTCACTTTATAAAACCTCCAGAACAGGAGGAGCCTCTGCTCAGGTGAGCACCGCTTGGCCTGGGCTGGTCTCAGTCATGAGGCCCGTCGGTGCAGACAAATGGCACCCTTCTCTTCTTTGCTGCCCGGTTTCCCCTAGGCTTCCCGTCCTCCAGCCCTCTGAAGTTGCTGAGTTCCTTACTCCTTTGGAAACAGCTTCCTCCTCCATGTTTTGGGGGTTTGTTGCTGTTTTCCCCCATACAGTTCGATTCTGAGTGATTTACCAGATCTCCCTGTCGCTAAAGAGGACTGGGAGCTAAAGAGTCAGCTAAATGGCTGACTTTATTCCACATTTACTTTCTTTTTTCTTTTTTAATCAAGACAGGGTTTCTCAATATAGTTCCTGTCCTGGAACTCACTCTGTAGACCAGGCTGGCCTCAAACTCACAGAGATCCACCTGCCTCTGCCTCACGAGTGCTGGGATGACAGGTGTGCACGACCATACCCTGCTTGCACCTCAGCTCTCTGAACTCAGGTGCCTGCATGGGTTTTATGTAGCTCATGCTGTGTTTATGGTGTGGTAGGAGCACACCATGAGATGAATCTGTGAGATGCAATGCAGTAAAATGTTCTGTGATGTGCCATGAGTCAAAACTCAAGAGGCTGGAGCAAGTTAGCGAAGCCTGGTCTTCAGCAATGCGGAGAGGAAAAGGAGGGCAGACTGCAGGCGTTGGTGAGGGACCCAGAGGACAGATTGACACCATGAAGTTGCAAGTGTTCTTAAACATGACCTAGTGCTTTCATTTCACAGAGAGAGTCCAGAGGGAGGTGTTAGCTCTAGGACCCAGTGAATGGCAGCATGGAGGGCGCTCTTGACAGTTAAATGGCCCTTGGCAGCCACTCAGTGTTTGTTTATAATTCAGCAGACGTGGACCAAGCTCCTCCAGTGAGCACTTGTGGGATTCTTATGGAACAATGGTGTATCACTCATGGATGTGTGTGTGTGTGTGTGTGTGTGTGTGTGTGTGTGTGTGTGTGTGTATGCTCGTATATACACACACACACACAAATATATACATATATGTATACATGAGCACACAAGCACATACCTTTTGTTTTTGAGACAGGGTCTCTCTGGCTGTCTTGGTACTCACTATGTAGAACAGGCTGGCCTTGAACTCACAGAAAACTGCCCACTTCTGCCTCCTGAGTGCCAGGATAAAAGGCATGTGCCACTATGCTTGGGTCATTCCATACCATTTTAGTAAGCATCTACAGCGTTACCTCCAGACCCCACGGTTCCCGTGTAGATTGTCAAGGCAGCACCGTCTCAGTGCTTCTGCCAGAGGAAGCCACACTTCAGCCTTCACAGCTCCTGTTCCTGCTGGAATCAGACTTTGCCTTTTAGCCAGGAACATTAAAATTCAAAGAAAATTCCACACTGGGCATGATAGTCCCCGTCTGTAATTCCAACACTCCAAGGATATGGTGTGATCAGTTTCTGACCATACTGTGCTTGAGAGAGAGAGAGGGGGGGAGAGAGAGAGAGAGACAGACAGACAGACAGACAGACAGACAGACACCCTGTACCAAAAAAAGAAAAGCACATTCAGACAGGCCATTTTGTCTCAGCAGGGCAGGCACAGTGGGTACTACTTATTTCATTCAAAGGTAGTGTAACCTTGGGGTTTAGCATGCAGGCTTCAGAGTCTACTGGCATGGTTCAAGGCAAAGCCCTTCCCTGCAGCCTTAGGCAAGCCCATTGCAGCCTGTTTTATCATCTGCAGAACAAGGGTGAAGGCAACACCCATCTTACCCATCAGTATTCACTAACTCTTGCTGCAGTAAGGCATGCCTTGGACCTTAGTGGCTCCCCACACAAATCCAATGTTCCCCTCTGCTGCATATCCATCCCAGACTGGGTAGGTCAGAGCAACTGCCAGGGTTCCAACAGCACAGAAGGGAAAGGATGTGGTTGGTCCCATTTGTGTCCTCCAAGAAGCTGCACAACCACCCTTGCTTACATTTTGTAGGGTGGAATAAATGAACAGGCACAATGTCATTGTCAGCAGGAATGGCCATAGCACCTGCTCTTTATTCAATATGAGGATGCACACAGTGTTAGGACAGTTTAGCCCATCCTCAGGACTCTGAACAGTAGCCATTATTTATTTTAAGACCTATTATTTTTAATTGTGTGTGCATGCACACATGTGAGCTATGTGAATGCGGGTACCTACAGAGGCTAAAGTCAGATCCTCCGGAGTTGGAGTTACAGGAAGCTGGGAGCTGCCTGATGTAGGTACTGAGAATAGAACTTAGGTCCTCTGCTCTTAAACACTGAGCTAATCTCTCCAGTCCTGGTAGCTGAGATTTTTAACCATGGCAACAATTCCCTGCTAACATGTTTGACTATTTGACAGCTCTACCACAGAGGCTGATTAATGCTTTTTCACTAGTAAAGAAAGGCTCAGAAGGATGAGCAAGGCTCTGAGGGATGAGCATGGTTCTGAGGGATGAGCGATTTTCCAAGAATATCCAAATGCTAAATGGCAAGACTTTGAATTTGGTCTTGTCTGCCACATAACCTGTGCTGGATGGCAAGGCAGCTGACCTCTTGTAAGCCCCTGCCTTTCAAGTCCTCTGCCCATTCTTCTCTAAGAAGAACAGCCAAGGCTGGGAAGTGTCTCCTAATCCACCTGTATTAATCAGGGTTTTCTAGAGAAATCTATCTGATAGAATGAATCTCTCTATATAAATGAGGTTTACTAGAGTGGCTTACAGGTCATGGTCAGGTTATTTCAACAATGGCTGTCTTCTGAAAGAAAGCCCAAGAACCCAATAGTTTTTCATTTGGCCCATGAGGCTGGATGTCTCAGGTGGTGTTCAGTATACCTCAGAATCCCAAAGAAGTAGGCTCTAACGCAGGGGAGGAATGAGCTTGCCAGTGAGAGAAGGGCAAGCTGGCGAAGGGCAAGGGCTTCCTTCTCCTGTGTCCTTCATACAGGCTGCTACCAGGTGTGACCCAGATTTAAGATGGGTCACTGTATTATTCAGTGCTCTATTGCTGTGAAGAGACACCATAATCAGGGCAGCTCTTATGAAAGAAAGCATGTAATTGGGGGCTTGCTCACAGTTTCCAAGGGTAAGTCTGCTATCGTCATGGTGGGAACATGGCGGCATGTGTGGCACTGGGGAAGTATCGGAGAGCTTTTCATGCTATCCCACAGGCAACAGGAAGAGAGACCCTGGATCTGGTGGGGACACTTGAAACCTTAACGCTCACCCCCAGCAACACACTTCCTCTTAACAAGACCACACCTCCTAATTCTTCTAATCCTCAGTGCCACTCCCCTGTGACTAAATACTCAAATATATGATCGGTTGAGAACCATTCTTATTCAAATCACTACAGTCTTCCTACCTCAAATGATCTAGTCCAAAAAAAAAAAAAAATCTCTCACACATGTACCCAGCAGGTTGGGTTTTAGGTAAGTCCAGATGTAGATATAGTCAAGTTAACAACCAAGAATAACCATCCCTTGACTATACAGAGAAACATCTGCAGCCCAGAGAAGGCAGGCATACTATACAAATCACACAGTCCCCACGTCCAGGCTTTGAGCAATGAGTCAACAGGAGCTCTCCCTCTCCCCTCCCGAGACAGTGTTTCCCTGTATAGCCCTGGATGTTCTGGAACTCTCTCTGTAGACCAGACTGGTCTCAGACTCACAAAGATCCACCTGCCTCTGTGTCCTGAGTCCTGGGATTAAAGGTGTGTGCCACCACCGCCAGGCAGGAATTCATTTGCCATGGGGGCGGGGCTATGCGGAAACTGTTAGGACTGCTGAGGCAGCTGTGTGCTTTCTCCTTTAGAAGGCGCCACTGTGGAGGCTTGTGGTGGTGGCCTACAGATGTCCAAAGGTTTTAGGAACCATAGGATGCACGCTGCCCTGTACTGGAGACAAGCCAGTGGGGCAGCCCATTGCTCTGACAAATTGGTGCAGAGACCCACAGTTGTACACACACCAGTGGGGAATGACCCAAAGCCCAGCCACTGCCCAACAGTGCTCTGATAGTGTCCAGCCTGCAGCCAGGGCCCAGATGTGGTCTTGACCCTGCAGTCACTCCATCGTATTCCGAGGTCCTTCTCTACACAGGTTATGGAGTTGGCAGAGCGGAAGAGGCAACAAAAGCAGCAAGAGCAAGAGGACAACATGACTGAGATCACCAACCTGCTGCACGGGGACCTGCTCTCTGAGAACCCACAGCAGGCAGCCAGCTCCTTTGGGCCTCACCGTGTAATCCCTGACCGCTGGAAGGGCATGAGCAAGGAACAGCTGGAGGAGATTCGCTTCACTCAGAAGCAACAGATCCAGGAGAAGCTGGTGAGCTCCTCCTGGACCACAGAGCCGCCTCTGCACCCCCGAGCTGCCCCCACACCCAGCTCCCGTGTCAGTGCTCATTCTGAGAGATGCCTCTGTTGTAGGCAGCTTTCATTCCGGTGGGAGGGGAATAAGAGCCAACAATTATGGCCACACATGATGTGTGTAGCATGTGTGAGAGATGAGCAGAGGACGACTGCAGGCCTTTTGGAGGGTGGACCTGGTTTCTACAGAGATGGGAAGTTGGTGGGAGGGCCATGCTGGTGGAGTGGGGCTCACGGGTACAACTTTGGATGTGTTGACTGTGTAATGCCCATTAGACATCTGTGGGATTAGGTTTGCCTGATGTGGCAAAAGAAAAGGAAACCAAAAGCACTAGCTACAGCATTTTAAATAAGGTAAAATCCGTCTGTGTGTAATCAGACCTCAGAATAGTCTCAGGCTTAAGTAGAAGCTCTATGGCCACTGTATTCTGCTATCTTTGACTCCTGGGCCTAACTTTTCACAAATGGCTGCTTAAATGCCAGCCATCGCATATATGAGCAAATGGTGTAGAAAGAGAAGTAAGGATTCCATTTTTAAGGAGTTTTACTGGACAACATTTAGATTACTCCAACTGGAAAGAACATCGGGACATGCATCGCTAGTGGCTGGTGTAGGAGGTTCTTCTGTCTATATGTTGCTTTCATTGGTTGAATAAAGAAACTGCCTTGGCCTTTTGATAGGGCAGCACTTAGATAGGCAGGGAAAAGAGAACTGAATGCTGGGAGAAAGAAGGTAGGCAGAGAGAGCCGCCATGGAGTTACCAGGGTCAGACATGCTGACTCTTTCCTGGTAAGCCACAACCTCGTAGTGACATACAGATTATTAGAAATGTGTTGAATCAAGATGTGAGAGTTAGCCAATAATAGGCTAAAGATAATGGGCCAGGCAGTGTTTAAATGAATACAGTTTCTATGTTATTATTTGGGGTGTAAGCTAGCTGGGCGGGACGGAGCAAAGGGCTCCGCGCTCCCTACTACAAGTGGCTCTCTGTTAAGGATGAGAGAATGGTGGCCACTGGGGACTCCTACCATTTTCTGTCTACAATTTCCAGGTGAAATGTAGGTGGGGAAAAGCTGAGGAGGAAGCAGGGTTTCTGATCAAGATTCAGAACAAGGTCTAGATTTGGGAGTTGTCATCTGCAGAAAGTAATACTGTAGCAGTCCTGGGTGTGATCCTGCTTGAGGCAGACAGCAGAGGAACACTGAGGTCTGCGGCTCAGGCATGGCCATCATTTACAAAGCGGGGACCTGCTGAAAGCAGCCGAGAAAGGGATGGGTAGACGGATGCCAAGAGAGATGTCCTGGAGGGTAGAGAGGGAGGCCCTGTACTGTAGTACTCCCAGGATGTGACCTGCCAACCCAGCAGGCAGAGGTGCTGGGGTGAGGGAGGGCTGCTCTGGGATAGGTGGCCTGGTGGATAACAAGAAGCAGAGTCTGTCATACATCTGCTCAGCTGGACTGTGGAATGAAGGTTGGCCTTAAACCCAGAATTTTGGTCCAGTTTTTATTCTAGAAGACTCAGAAGGCAGGAACACACAAAGGGTGGAAGAGCACAGTAAGATTCTCGCTCAGGCCCTTGCTCCATGCTTCTTGGTGCTTTTTCTTCTCCATGCTCTCTGAGCCCCAGGTGATCTGGGAAAAGGAGCTCATGCTGAGGCAAGTGCGCCACTGACCGTGGCATCTTTGGACAGTCCCTTTACAGATGCCACTGGCCATGGTGTCTTTGTATCGTCCCTTTACAGAAAGGCCTCTGAGATTCCCAGAAGCAAGGCCACTACTCCTAGGTGACAGTTGTCTAAGTCAGTGCAGGCTGACTTTGGGCCCTGACATGAGACCATGCTGGACACCACTCACTGCCCTGGTGTAGATGTTCATCTAGCCTTCAACGTGGCCCACCCAGTTTCTTCTCCCAGAAGATCATTTGTGAGAAGCTAAACTGTCTTGGGAATCAGTTCTCCACACTAATCCACACTAATCCAGTGCCCCAGAGGGCACTGTGCTTCGCAAAGAAGGATCTGACAGGCAGGACTTTTAGAACTAGGCTATCGCCCACACCTTCATGGTGACACTGTTGTCACAGGGTGAGGCTCAGTGTCAGTGTGCTCAGGGACTCCGCAAATGATCCCCACATTAGACAATTTGCTAGCGGCAACATCTGGCTTGCTTAGCCAGCTGGGAACCCTCCTGAGGATCTGATAGAGATCAGGCTGGCTGGAGCACTATGGGAGCCAAGTTCCCAGGTCCTTCAGGAATAAGAGAACATCAGTGCCATTCGAGGGCAGAAGGCAGCCAGACCACATAGGACAAGGGCAGGGTGGGTGAGGTCACCTCCCTTCTCCTCCAAGCTTCAGTTTTTCCACCCGTAAAAAGAAGCCAAGTTTCTCAGATGAACGCCCTAGGCTCCTGGGCCCTGAGAGAAGGTTTAAATCCCTTTTCCTGCCTTCAGAGGCTTCAGGAGGAAGAATGCCAGCGCAACATGGACTGGGACCGACGCAGGATCCAGAAGGCTCGCGCCAGCCTACTGCATGAGCGTCAGCAGCAACGCTTGCAGCGGGAACTGCGCAGGGCCCTGGACTGCAGCAACCTCAGCCTGGCCAAGGAGCAGCATTTACAGTGAGTGTCAGAGACCTCACGTAGGTGCAGAGTAGGTGGGCAGAGCCATAGGTCACTGTGTACCGTAGGTGCTTGGGGGACACTGAGTCACCTGGGGAACCAGGGAGACTTTCTGGAGGAGGCTTTATAGTTGAGCCTTGGGGTGTAGTGATCGCCTACTAAGTAGCCTTTCCAGGCAGAGGCAAGGAGGATTTCCAGGCTCTTTCACATGCTAGAGCCACCCGAGTATAAACAGAACCCCAAGAGTGGCTCCAGGATACAGCTATGGCAGATAAACTAACAACCAAGATCACTCAGCTATTCTTGTATCCTGAACTTGAGTCCTGAGGGGAACCCTGGGGTCTGGTCCAGTCAGAACTCAGTCACCACTGGGTCTGACAGTGGTCATGGCTTCCACTGGGGCTTAAAAGGAACACTCAGATATGGTCTGACAGGACAGTCATACTCTTGTGTGATGTCCCCATGCTGACACCAAGTCCCTTCTCTAACTTCAGTGTCACGGCTGAAGAATAGTGGAGAGGACTCATTAATATGTATATGTGTGTGTGTGTGTGTGTGTATATATGTATGTATGTACATACTTATATGTACATATACACACACTTATTGTGCAGGGGTATTTTTGCCTGCATAAATCCTGTATGCCACTTGCATGCAGTGCATATAGAGACCAGAAGAGGGAAGCAGATCCCCTAGAACAGGAGTTACAGATTGCTGTGTGCCTCCATGTGGGTGCTGGCAAATGAACCTGGGTTCTCTGCAAGAGCAGCAAGCGCTCTTAGCTCCTGAACCATCTCTCTAGGTCAGGGGAACTCTTGTTTGGAGTTAGTGTTGGAATGGATTCTGTAGTGTGGGCATCAAATACCTGTGGACTTTACGTCTCATATTTATCTCTTTTCTTCTGTTATCAGGAAAAAACGAATGAATGAAGCCTCCACAAGTCAACCCACAGAAGATTATTTCTCACAGTTTAATACAAGAAGCCGCTAATGGGAAAGACTCCTCTTTTCTTGTTTATAGTAGTGTGGTCCTCTCAGAGTCACACTTATTTCAGAGTGACCCTGCTCCTTGGTCTGAACACCCCCATCACTTTCATCACTGGGGAGTGTGCACTCTGGAAGCTCTGCTTTGTGAAGACCGCTAGTGCAGCTTTGGGTGCTGTGGCCTTAAGGCATGGCGGAGAGGACACATCGAGGGCAGGTGTGTGGCTCAAGCTCCGGGTTAGCTGCTACGATCACTTGGTAGTTCAGTGAGCATCATAGTTGTTCTGTGTGTTCCACGAGATACCCTTTGTTCCAATCTCACCCCCAGAGGCTGCCGGTACCTCCTCCATTGTCTAGTGTGTGAATCTGAGTTAAAGGCACACATCTGGTTTATTTGTGTGATTCATCCCCCCCCCAACCAGGAAATGTCAGCACCCAGGATGGAACCCAGTGAGTCTGGCTTTCAGCCTCTTCATCTCCTGGCTCCTGTAACATAGCCCCGGGGAACAGTGGCTTCTATAAAGCATCAGCTTTTCTTTCTTGCTGTAACGAAAGCAAGCCGACCTAGATGTTCTGCTGGTTGGGGAAGGCCCAGTGCCCTCTGCTACTTGCTCAGCCTCCCTTGCCACTGTGCAGCTCCCATCCTAGCGTCCAGGCCTCTGGCCAGTTTGCAGCCCTGTCACCAGAACCCAGCGTTCAGGGATATGATCCCGAAAGTGTCTGTTTCGTCCTTGCTCACAAACCCACTCCGACGAGCTCCGGCCAGCAGGAGTGCTCCTTTCTGTTGTGGTTGTCCTCGGGTTGGTAAGACTTAAAAGGGATGGCCAGACCAAGGAGACCTCCGCATTCACCCATCACAGATGCATTCTCGGGGAAATATGCCCCCACTGACACTGCCAACAGCTGCTGGGCTTTTAGGAAGGTCAGACCAAGTTGAAGTCACCAGTCCAGTAGGGCCGTGTGCTGTCAATGGCCATCACTTTTGGCCACAGGTAAGAACAGGTACCCTTGAAGGCCTGTCCTTTACAAACACCCATCTGGGCCAAGAGTCCAGTGGTAGTGACACAGTGACCCAGGGTGTTTAGGCAATGACAGGATCCACCCATACTTTCCACAGGCTTCACTTTGCCAGTGCCCCTTCATAAAGCTGGGACCTGTTGTTCTACCTCATGTTTTCTGCAGGGACTCACATATACCCCGTGAATGGCTCCAGCCACAGGTGGACTAGGCCTCTCTTCTCTGGAGCAATGTGGAGTCCTGCGATAGTGACCACAATGTCGCCAGAGGCCCATAGAAACCAAAGCACCCATCAGAGAAGGAACCAGGGCCCAGCCCCTTCAGAGGCTCCTCTATAGGCTACTGTGCCCCCCCATGTGCTTGGGTGACCCCACTACCAAGCCCAGGGCAACTACCTCTGGAACTCAGCCTTTGTTTCCTGAGCACAAGTGTCTGGCTCTAAGAGTGTCTTATGGGACAAGAACATGCCAGGAAGAAAGGGTGGGTATGAATGCTTTGGGCTAGGAGCCTTAAGAGTACCATGGCAAACTGGCAGCTTAAACAGTGGGCATTTCTAGTTCCTTACAGTTCTGAGGTTAGACGCGTGTGATGGAAGCTGGGCGGTGTTGCACGCCTTTAACTCCAGCACTCGGGAGGCAGAGGTAGGCAGATCTCTGAGTTTGGGGCCAGCCTGGTCTACAGAGTGAGTTCCAGGAAAGCCAGGACTACACAGAGGAAACCCTGTCTTGAAAAAAAGTTTGTGATGGAGATGCCAGGAAGATAAGGACAACAATCCTACCGAGACGGGGTATGATGACTTCATGTTCACAACTACCTTGATAGTTACCCTGTTTCCAAGGTTACAGTCTGAGCTACCAAGACACAAGGATCACAAGTCATCTCATCACAGAATAAAATGCTGAGTGCCCCCTGGGTATATGAGTAATTCTATGGGGAACATTGATGAAGGGACCTCAAGACCAAATTCTCAGCACAAAGATTTGTTTGTCCCAGAGGAACAAAGGGCAGGGAATAAGAGACAAAGACAGGAGATAGAGGAAGAGGGGGGTGGGGAAAAGAACAATGGAGGAGGGAAGGAATATTTGTCCTGGAGGGACGAAGGACTGCATCTGAATAGAGAAGGGACATATGGCCCATAGGCAAATGGCAGTCTATAAAGGGAAAAAGGAAAACCTCAAGTTAGGAAGAGGTGTTTAATTTTAACTGGGCATGTTAATTAGGACAGCCAAAAGGGGTTTTTGATTGCTGGAGTTCAATACTTTGATAGCTGGACCTTGGTAGTCAGCCTCAGGAGGCGGAAGTGGTCAAATAAGGGAATAGACCTTGGTGGCTAGCTTTAAGAACATAATCTAGTGTTTTTTTAGCAAGGCAAGGGAACTTGGACCATGTTTGTCATGCTTGGGCCAACTAGAGTTCCTTCAGTGGGTGCCTAGACTAAACAAGACAGCTTGGGGCAGCATTCTCTTGGTAGACAACGGACAATCAACTGAGGTGGTGATCCTCCTGCTTTTGAGGAGTGTGGTAGTTTGAATAAAAATGGCCCTCATGGGCCCATAGTGAATGACACTGTTAGGAGGTGTGGCCTTGTTAGAGTAGGTGTGCCCCTGTCAGAGGAAATGTGTCACTGTGGGTGGGCTTTTGGGTTTCAAAAACTCAAGCCAGACCCAGTGGCTCTCTCTCTATTCCTGCTGCCTGCCAATCTTGATGTAGAATTCTCAGCTCCCCCAGCACCATCTGTGTTCCCCCCTTCCCTGCCATGACCATGGACTAACCTCTGAGCCTATAAACCAGCCCCAATTAAATGTTTTCCTTTAGAAGAGTTGTCATGGTCATAGTATCTCTTCACAGAAATAGGAACCCTCACCCTAAGACAAGGAGGGAGACACAGTGAAATGCCCACAGAAGCACTAAACGTCCATCAAGCAAGTGAATCAATAAACTGTGATATCTGTACAGCGATTATTCAGCCCTGGAAGGACGTGAGCTGTCAACAGAATGCACAGCATGGATGGCCTCGAAAACATGCCAAGGGAAGAAGCCAGTCATGAAGGGCTACACACAGTCTAACTACATTTTTATGTAGGACATGTCCAGAATAGACCTTTAGAGACAGAAAGCAGGTTAGACTTTTGCTAGGGACAGGCTTGAGGGGTAGCTAAAGGGTACAGAGTTCCTCTGAGTGCTGAGAATGTGGTAGAATTAGTACCAACAGCTCCAGAACACCGAATATACCAAAAATCCATAGAAATAGATAAATAGGGTGAGTAATATAGAGAATGAGTAAGATGAGGAAGTCACCTCCCACAGCCGGACTGCAAGTGAGAAAAGGACTTCTGCAAAGTCAATCATGTGCTTATCCTGGGGGCCAGAAAAGAAGATGTCTGTCCACAAAATGAGTGCTACAGAAATAGCCATGATGCCTCTGTTAGCGTTCCAAACTGAGTCAACCAAAGTGTCTATCAACAGGTAACCAAGTATGAATCTGTGTTGTTTTCATAATACCACAGGAATAAATTGTTGATAACGTCTACCCAAAGGCAGAGACAGAAACTATGAGCAGAAATATACCAGATATGAAAGTGTACAACGTAAGAGTCTATATGTTCAAAGTTCCAGGATCAGCAAAACTGTTCTTTCAGGAAGGCAGGAGGATGACCGCAGAGAAACATGAGGCTGCTTGCTAGGAGTGGAGGAAGTGTACAGATAAAAACAGCCACTCCACCAGGACTGAAACTAAGGGCCCCTAACAAATGCCAGCACATCAGTGTTAATTGAGCTCTGTTTCTCTCGGCCGTTGCCGCATCCACCAGCAGGTGGCGCTTCTGGCTCGCCCGCTCCAGTCTCCACTGGGCCCTGGCCATCTTGTTTCCATAATTGCTGGAGTGTCTGCAAATAAAGAGGGCGTGCGGGGGAAGGTCATGACTACCGAGCAACAGCCACTTTGGGTGACCGTGCGATGAGACAGTAGCAGTAGTCCTAATCCTCGTGGCCAACAGAGTGTGGGGAGAGGCTGGGAACTGTTGAAAGCAGCGATGGAAGTTGCAGGAGGCGGGAGGCAGGCAGGGAGCTAAGTGGAACACACTTTTATAGCACAGGGCTTCATCTCTGATTGCTCGTCCCACTCCAGGTCTCTTACCTAACCATTACCTTCAGGCGCATGCTGCCCATGGAGTCTATGCCCTCTGCCAGACCTGGCAACAGTCTTCGAAGTCTGTCTGTAGAGCTGCCCACTTCGTTTTCTCCTATGAACGAGGGAGGTCAACATCTTATCACAACCCTGAAATGGGACATGGCCAACAGAAGGCCCAGGACCACTCTTTTTTACAGTTATTCTAGAAAACACTCCAAACTTCCTTCTTTTAATGGCTCCAGTGAAACTTCAACTCTACTAGCCCCAATCTGGGGACCAGAAGACCCCAGAGTTTATTGAAGAAAGAAAATGCTAAGGCCATCTCCTCCACATCAGACTGGCTTCTCAATCACCCCAAAGGTTCCCATCTGGAGCTTGGGTTCACAGTGTATTTTTGTTGAGATGTCCACGCAGAACCCAGGGCAGATCTTACAAGACCTGGGTCTGGATCTGCTGGGGACAAGAATAGGAGCCATAGTCACCACTAAGTCTCTTACCTAAGGTCACTCAGTGTCCTTGCCTTTGCCTCTCTGGCCCGCCGACTGGCCCAGTGTTCATTCTCAACTCAGGTTCATGAAGATGCACAGTCCACAGGCCCCATTTCCAGCCTCATCCTCTCCGGGAGAGGGTTTTGTGAATTAGAGTTTAATCTCACAGGGAAGGAGCAGCGGACTTTCACCCGTGGAGTCCAACACCATGCTGGCCCAGTGTTAATATCTTACTAAAGCCTCCACAATTCTTTCTTACACATTCCTTGTCCCAGAGGAAGATCAGAGTCTTAGAAAGGTAAAGTAACTCCCCCAAGCCCTTAGGGCCAGGGGCAGGTGAAGTCAGGCATTAAATCCAGTTCTGATTTCAAAGCTCTGGCCACCTCTCCAGAACAGAATGCTCAACAGGTAAGCATGAACAGAGTCCCTGTCCTGAAGCGTTCAACAGATGTTGACATGGGTGCAGTTAGGCTTACAATCTGTGTGCAAGCCTAGCAATCCGAGCTCAGTCCCAGAGTGGAAGAAGAGAACCAGCTCCCTACACACCCACCCACCCTCCCCTACATGTGCACACAAACACGTGCGCACACACACACACTTTAAGAATGTTGAATATTTTTGAAAATCTGACAGGATTTACTGAGGAGTTGGCTCAGTAAAGTGCTCGCGTGAGCATGAAAACCCAAGTTCAGTCACCAGACCCACATAAAAATGTCCCACATACCTGTCATCCCAGTGCTGGGAGAATGCAGACAGGAGGCTCCCCCGGCTCAGTTCTCTAGCCAGCCTAGCCTACCTGACAAGCTCCAAGTCAGTGAGAGACCCTGTCTTGAAAAACAAGGTGGAGCAAGACGTGGTGGTGCACACCTTTAATCCCAGAACTCTGGAGGAAGAGGCAGATGAATCTCTGTTAATTCAAGGTCAGACTGGTCTATGTAATAACCTCCAAGCCAGTCAGGGCTGCACAGTGAAACCTTGTCTATAAGTAAATACTTAAGTTAATAAGACAAGGTAGAGAGCTTTTGAGGAAGGCACTAAGACCTCTAGCCTCTACATGCATATGTACATGTGTGCATGATCACACACAAAACCTAAAATGGGTTAACTTACTTTATTAGAACAACAAGAAGTCTCTAGAAGCAGACACGATTATTACCAAAGACACTTCACAGTGCCCCATTCTCTAGGTGCACTGGTTATACTGAGAGCTGGGGAAAAAAGATTGACAGGTCCCGGTGGTGGTGGTGGTGGTGGTGGTGGTGGTGGTGGTGGTGGTGTGCACCCTTAATCCCAGCACTTGGGAGGAGAGGCAGGCAGGCAGATCTCTAAGTTTGAGGACAGCCTGGTCTACAGAACAAATTCCAGGACAGCCAGAGCTACACAGAGAAACACTGTCTCAAAAAAAATTTTTTTTTACATAGAAATAAGCTTATTGCTTGTGTTGTTCAATTGGTAACCTATGATTGGCTGCCTCTCAACTACTGTGACAGGGAAACTCAGTTTCTTAGCAACGGGAGTATACCCAAAGTTAGGTTCCACCATGTTTAAACATCAAGCTGAGCTACTGTTCACTAGGTATGGCAGAAGCCACTTTGGGTTAGACTTTCTCGTCTAACTATGGAGACAGGTTTAAGCTGAGATCCAGCCACTTTTATATGGGTGACAACTCCCTAGTACATCCCTCTCTTGAGCCCAGTCTGTCCTGAATTCAGGGCTTGAAAGGAAGCTGCGCACAAGGGGAACCAGGCAGAAAGCTAAGTGGAGAGGGCAGTTGCAGAGTGGGGCTCTACTGTAATTCTCAAGGCAGGCGCGGTCTTGAATTCCAGTTTCATCAGTCAAATTGGATGTCTCAAATTAGTGTGTCCTGGCCTAGAGAGATGGTTACGTGGCTAAGAGCACTGGCTACTGTTCCAGGGGACCTAGGTTCAATCCCCATTCAAGACTCTTTTTTAAAAGTTAGTGTGTCCAAGTTGCTCCCCCCCCCTCCCCAGGCCTGTCTCTGTCCACGTCAACTCCATTCTTATAACTGCTCTAGACAAAGTTTGGATTCATCATGGAATTCTCTCTCTCTCTCTTACACACACACACACACACACACACACACACACACACACACACACACAGACACATACACACAAGAGAGAGAGAGAGAGAGAGAGAGAGAGAGAGAGAGAGAGACCCCATCAGCAAAGTCTGGTTGCCAGTCTTCAATATATCTGAATGTGTATATGTGTGTGTATATATATATGCATATATGTGATATGTATATATGTATGTATAAAACAAATTTTAGTGTGTCTCACCTGTATGCGTGAGACATCTTGATCCAAATGACACCTTGATTTAAGCCAACATCCACCTAGTCTCTTCACTTGCGTGCCTGTTCCTCCCCACCCCCATCCACCCACATTCTTTTTCAAGGCACTATAACCACAGAGCCAGGGTTAAAATGGAAGGCATATCTTTTTCTGCTCCCCTTCTTCACCCCTGTCCCAACCACCTTGTTTCCTTGCTGTGACCTGATCCTGCCCCACGTTCCTGCCTTGGGTATCCCCCATACTCACCATTCCCTCTGTGTAGCATGCTCTTTCTTCCAGATGCAAACATGGCTAACTGTTACTTTCTTAGGAACTCAGCTTAGCAGTTACCTTATAGAAGGGAGAACACTTTTCCTGGCCTGTACATACAAAGGTTCTTCCCCCATGGTACCCTTCCTATCTCCATGGTCCTTTTGCCTCATTTGTAGGACCATCATTCATCGTCCTCTTGGCCATTAAGATGCATGTTTCTGAGTGCAGGGACTGCTTCATTCATCGCTACTCCCAGAGCCTTGAACAGAGCAAGACTTGGGTTTATTGCCCAAGTTGTCTGGGGGAAAGTTTCACAGTCTGAGCCTAAACAGCCGGGGTTCTGGTATTGTCACAGTTATCCCTGCTCAGCATCCTGAGAACTGAGAGGAAAACCAACCCACCAGGGACCAAATGATATGATGGTGGAGGAGCCACCAGGAAAGAATTCACCCTGGGGGAAACAGGTCAGGCACAGTGTAGCCCGGTTATCTGACCCAGGTAGCTGATAATGGGGAACGCTGGTCCTGGGCAGGGCAGTGGAAGTCTAGTGGTCAGCAGCCATGTGGGACACAAGGGACAACCAGGCAGAAAAACCCCTGTAGTGGCACCTGAGAGACAGCTTGAGGTATCAAAGAGCATGCTTAGCCAGGCCTGGTGCCATTCAATGTGACAGCCACCTCCTAGGTTGGAAAGGCTGCCTCAAGAGGCTGGCAGTGCTCAGTTTAAATCACATTCAACCTGTGCTCAGCCGGCAGCCCTTGTAAGTCATATGCAAATGCTGTGCATCTCTTCTCTGTACATTTGAGTTTTCTGGATGAAGGTGCTGTAGCTCCAGAGAGCTCACAGTCTGAAAGGAGGAACTTGCTTTTTCCTCATCTGACAGGTGCCACATGCTGTGAGCAGGCATAGTGCTATGCCCCTGGCTGTAGCAATTAAGAGGCTGGGGGGAGCTCAGTGGGGTATTAGTTACTCTTCTGCTGCTGTGACAAAAAAACGCCATAACCATGGCAACTTAGAGAGGGAAAGGTTTATTTGGGCTTATGATTCCAGAGAGGTAAGAGCCCATTATGGCGGGGAAGCATGATTAACAAGCAGCTGGTTTGAACAGGATCCTGAGGACTCGCATCTTAAATCACAAGCAGGAAGTAGAAACAACAAACTCAAAACTGGTGCAAGACTTTTGAAACCTCAAAGACCCCACCACCCATGCTCCAGTGGCAATACTTCTTCTGGTAAAGTCACATCTCCAACACCTACCCAAACAGCTCCACCAACTGGGGGCAAAGTTTTTAAACATCTGAGTCTAGTGGGGAGCATTCTCATTCAAACCACCACAGTGGGAGAACTCTTACTTCGCATGTGCAATGCCCTAGGTTCAAGCTCACCATTTAGGGGGAAGATAAGAAATGACATGTAGTCTGGAGAGCAGAGGGACAGAAATTAATAAGCAAATGCTTGAACAACTCAACTCAAATAGCCCCACAAAATGGCTGAGAGCGATTTTGATGTTTTTATTAGTAACTTAGATAAACGTCGGAAGCTGTCTTGGGAAGGAGGAAGCTGTGGCTGATCGTTTCAGAACACACTGTAATCGTCTCGACTTTGACCAGGACGAGACCTTCCCATTCCCCTGAGCCTGACCCGGGAAGTCATTCCCATGAGTCTGAGGCATTGGTGTCTTTCCCATGGCCATAAGTCTGCTTTCTAGAATTCCAGCCTCCACTCAGGGGCTACAAGTTGGCCATCCACGTGACTGGTCTGGCTGGATGGTGAGGGGAGCTGGCTGGTCACTGAGGCACCAAGCACGGAGCAAAAAGGAGGCTGTCCCAGACTCAGCTGAAACTTGCCAGGCAAGCAAGCCCCAGAGAAGGTGAAGAGCTGACTGAGTTTCATGCCAACTGTATGCGTAAGATGAACAGTATGGAAGCAGTAACAGAAAGACTTTGGTCTCAGGATCTGGCTCCCTTCCCTCCATACAATCCTAGCTACACGTTCAGCCTCTTTTTGCCTCTTCTCCAAGATTCCCCGAGCCTTGCCTGATGAAGCCATAACTTCACTGAGATCTACAGTATTCCACGTTCCCAGAACTGAGGACTTGATGGAGCCCAGTTGTCTGAGGCAGGCCGTGTCATCTGCCTGCAACAACACAAGTTGGGGATGCAGGAAGAGGAGCGGAGTCCATGCCAAGTGGAGAACGTCAGGCCTGGGGCCAGGGTCGGCTTTCTTAGCTTCCTGTGATTGTGGCCAAGTTTCTGACCCCAGTAACTCACCTAAGATACAGATCATTGATGAATAAGTGGGTGGAACATGTGAAAAGGTGCATACTGTCCATCCCAGGCCACTGTGGCCTCTGGGACTCAGCCCCGGTGTCAGATGGGTGTGTAGGGTCACGTCCGACACCTGAATACCTTCTGTCCTCTTGCTGCCTGTGTACTTTTGGAAACATGACTTAGATGTACCAAGACTGAGTTTCCACATTTGCAAAATGGGGTTAATACACACACCGTCATCCTAATCTTATTCTGAGAATTAAATGGCAATTATGCAAAAAATACGCTTTGCAGGATATCCAGAGATCATGCACAT